AAAAAAAATTTTTTTTCACTTTTTTTTTTAGTGGCTTGCCAGTTTAAGGATCAAACCCTGAATCTTGGTGTTATCAGCACCATACTATAACCACCTGAGCTAACTGGCCAGCCCTACAAATTGAAAAAAATTTTAATGTTTTTTTCCCAGCTTTATTGAAGTAGAATTGACAAAGATTGTATATATTTAATGTGTACAGTGTGATGTTTTGATATATATACATTGTGAAATGATCACCATAATCAGGCTAATCAAATAAGTATCTGTTAAACAATTAACATGAAAATGAAATAATGCTGTCGAATCATCAAATTTCTATTTGGATCAGGAATTTTTGCATCTAACAGAAGGGATATGCCCTAGTCATATTAGTGGAGACAAATAATGGTGATGGCTTTTGTGTAACCCCAAATTAAATTCTCTCAGCTTTAATAAAGGTCTGCCTTGTTCCTCAGTCTTAATGCATTAACATAGTATAGTGAGGCATATCCTTCCTCTCCTAATGGCACCACATTTGGGGCATACTTGTGTATTTTAAAATTATAGATAAATCTTTTTATTCATAGTATTTCTTCATGTTACAATTTCACTACCTATCATAACACATAAAAGCAGCATTTAGACCAGAGGGCTCTATTCTACTTAGACTTGGATTTCTTTCAAGTGGAAGCAACTACCAGAAGGTTCATATTCATACACCACCTGTTTCTGTAACAAGCAAGGGAAGAAGATAAGAAGATGCTGAGAGAGATGCCAATAGCACATGTGCCTCTTTTCTCCTCTGACCTTCCCCAACTCAACTGAGTAGCAAATCTGAATGAACACAAATGTAGGGGTAAGCAACCAGGACTCAAAAGCAAAAAGGAAGAAGAGAAGAGAAGGAAGCCTCATACCCTGATGGAACACCATGCCCACCAATAATCACTTACCTGCAGGCATAGAGCATATTGGACATGAAGGTCACAGGGTTGGTACTTCGTGATGTGTCCATTACATATATGACAATTGTTGGAAATGAGGATGCCTAAAGCCACAAAATAATCAAAGCTTGGTTAGAGGGCTTGTGACCTGTCCCCAAACTCTTTTCCTACCTTCCTTAGCAAGGAAAAACCACTTCAGGCAATGTGCAGAGCTTCTGTAACTCCCTCCCATATAAAGTCCCAAGCAACAAAAAAGATACTAATCTAGTCTACCTCTCTAGCTACTCTCAGTAACAAGTCCTAGAATACTCACCAGGGCCTCAGTGATGATTGTGCCAGAAGCTGACCAGGTAAATACTTCAATCTGTCCGGGTGTGTCAATCAAGACATATCTGTATCAAGAAAGACCATTAAAGAAGCATTATACTTATGCAATGTGGAAAGATATTCCATCACATAAAACAGTAAACTTCTGGTTATCCAAGAATGAAATAACCTCTGCACACTGCTAAGTCTAACTCCCTCCCACTGCCCTTAAACTGTATATCATATTCTCCCAAACTCTGTTCAATGTCCAATATTCATGCTAATGGGCAGGAGCAGCTGACCATAAATGGCTGCAAATGATCACAGGGGAAACTGTGATAGTTATAGAAGCACATTGCTTACAAATGAGAGATAAGCAAAACCAGAATGTAAATCTCTTGGAAAACTACCTGATTGCTTAGGGCTGGGGGTATAGGAGAAGAAGGAATGAAGGGATAGGGGGATGCCAGCTAAAGAACATGGGGTGTCTTCTTTAGGTGATGAAAATGTTCCAAAATTGATTGTGGCAATGGTTGCACAGTTCTGTGAATATACTAAAAGTCACTGAATTGTACACTTTACATGGGTGAATTGTACGGTATGAGAAATATCTCAATAAAGGTGTTTTTAAAAATGGGCAAAGAATTTTAGCAGACATTTTTCCAAACATATACCAATGGCCAATAAGTACATGAAAAGACGCTTGACACCATTAGTCACTAAGGAAACAAAAATTAAAACCACAATGAGATATCACTTCACATCCACCAGGATAGCTATAATCAAAAACAAGGACAATAAGTGTCAGTGAGGTTGTGTATAAATCATATTGCAGTTGGGATATAAAACGGGGTAGCCACTTGGAGCCTGGAAGAAGGGGAAATAAGGAGTGACTGCTAATGAATAAGGAGTTTCTTTTTGGGATGATGAAAATATTCTGAAATTAGATAGTGGTGATCAATGCACAACTTTGTAAACATACTAAAACGCTAAATTATACACTTTAAAAGAGTGAATTCTATGATATCTCAATAAAGCTGTTATTTAAGGAAAAAAAAACTATCTCTAGTATAATCTCATTTCTGTAAAAATACCTCTACCCGTCTATCTTCTATCTATGTATATATGCTTAGAAACATGTGGAATGCTAGTCACTGAACAATGATATTACTAGTGGGAATTGTGGAAATATTTTCATCTTTTAAATATTATGCATGGTTTGAATTATTTATAATGAGCATATATCCTTCTTTACAAAACAAATTATCTTTCTTTTTTTAAAAAAGTAAACCTATAAAAAAATTAACAAGTTAATTGTAGGTAATGATAATAAGAACAAATACTTTTATATTCTCAAATTTTTTTTTTCCATTTTGTCTTTTTTCGTGTCCGGCAACGGATCGCAATCCTCAGTGTCGCGCCGGTTTTTCCTTTTTGTCTTTTTTCGTGTCCGGCAACGGATTGCAACCCTCAGTGTCGCGCCGGTACCGGACTGGGACTGGCAATGGGATCGCAACCCTCGGTGTCGCACCCGCACCTCACTCAGCCAGTGAGCGGGAATCGGTCTGTATGTGGGATCCGAACCCTCGGCGGGAGCACCGCTGCGCTCCCAAGCGGCGCACTGTAGCAGTGCGCCACCGGGCCGGCCCAAGAGTTTTTTAATTAAAAAAATTTCAGGGGCCGGCCCGGTGGCGCACTGCTACAGTGCGCCGCTTGGGAGCGCAGCGGTGCTCCCACCGAGGGTTCGGATCCCACATACAGACCGGTTCCCGCTCACTGGCT